AGAGAGAGAGAGAGAGAGAGAGAGAGAGAAACCGTGTGCTGACACTATCGGACCGAAGAAACCGCCCTTATCAACGGCCAACATGAATCCGGAAGCGGGGCGACATGCACAAAGGACAAAAAATATGGCGGTGCATCGTTCCATGTTCCGGCGGAAGATTCATTCCCATTTTGCTCATACGTTGGGTGGTGGAGAGCGAAGGGCCCTTGCTCCGCTACTTACCAAATGTGCAAAATGAGAATGAATCAGGTAACCATGTAACGTATCTCTGTAACCTTTCTTTTTTTTTGTTTTGGAGAATCTCTGAACAAATGAGATTGAATCCTCCGCTTGAACATGGAAAGATACATTGCCATATATGTCTTGTGTGCATGTCGAGAGTAGTGCAGCGAGCCCGTTGGTGAACAGTACCGTTGAGTTTTTTTTTCTTTTTTTCTTTTTTTTTTAATGAACTCCCTGGGCCTGGTCAATCAATCATGGGGCGTCGCCGTACGGCACACGAAACGAAAAACGAAACGATTGCATCTTTCTGCAGAGAATGGCCAGGTTCATCAGTTTGCTATAAAAAATAGTAACGAGTGTATTTTGCCATCTTTCGTGGGCAGATGCACTCGTTTCGTTTTCGTTTCGTGTGCCGTGTGGCGAGGCCCGTGATGTCTTGAGGCTGTCACCCTTTCTAAGAAGGAAGTGGCTGTCAGTTCCGCTGATTTTCTTCCTTTACGTTTTTTTTATTTTATTAAAAAAAAAAAACCTCCAGGAAAAACGGCTTTCAGTTCCGTCGTTTTCTACTTCAGAAGTAATAAGAAGAGAACGTTGAGAGATCGCGACCCTCATCATGACTGAATCTGGCCTGCAAGAACCCTACCATACAGACTGCAAGAACCCTACCATACACACAGAGTGTTACGCGGACTACAGGTTTCTAAAAGCTTTCAGGCCAATGCGCGGCCTCCAAAAAAAAATTGGCTGCCTGTTTCTTATTTTACGCGAGCAGGGGGCCGGGTCTACTACCGCCCCTCACAACCTTTTTTTTTTTTTCGACCCCCATTTTTGGAGGTGCGCCGCATGCAGTGCGCGCTCGTCGTGCGGGATGCGCGGTGTGGCGCACGTGTGCAGTACAGCGCATCGCAATGCACCGCATGTATGATATATATAATATATATATATATATTTTCCTCGTTCTTCCATTGCAATGAAGTGGGTGCCCCACTTCTGAGTTGCTGGTGCGAAACACAGGGAACCCTGGACTAACAGTGTGTTCTTGCTCTGCTGCTTTGAAAATTGAAAGGCGTGTGCATTGTACGTTCCTTTCACACCGACGAACCGCTGTCTGTGCGTGATATTGTTTGGGGGTTGTATCCTGAACGTCCACCGCGGAATGCTGTACATCGTGGATTATATATTGTAGAGCTTTGACAAAATAATAAAATATTGTACTGCTATGAATCACGATGTAAAACTCAAATTGGAGACAGTGGGAAACTCCCAACTCAAGAAAGAAAAGTGAAAAGAGAGAATAGAGTGAGGGAACAAGGATAAGAAGGAGATTAGGAAGAAGAAGAAGAAGAAGAAGAAGAAGAAGAAGAAGAAGAAGAAGAAGAAGCAGAGGAGGAGGAAGGGCCTAGCTCAGTTGGTACACCCATGAACTGTTGAAATATATAGACTCGAGTTTGAATCCATACAGAACCAGATGAATTAGTCAGACAAATTGAGACAATAATAAGAAGAAGAAAAAAACATTGCTGTTACTCGATGGGGGCTGGGGAAGTAGATGGGAGGCACAGCTGCTGATAAAATGCTCGGTCTTTGCGTTAGGCTCCCTCCATTCCCACTGGCAGCCCCACTTTACTCCCTTAGCACCTCCAATTAGGGAGGGGGACAACATGCATTCCCTTGATTGTGAGAAGTAGCTATGCTTGCAGGGGTCTCCTTTATATGCTTAGAAGTAGCCCGTTGATAGGTAGTGAAAAGTGAAATTGAGAAAAGACGAAGAAGTAGACAGCTTGGTTGTAAAAGAAGAAGAAGAAGTAGACAAGGAAGTGACGAAGAAGAAATTTGAGACAATGAACTTGCATTGTCTTGCAACTCGAGAAGAAGTTTCCTTCTTTTGCAACTGTTTCTTTCTTGAAGTTTCCTCTCTCTCTCTCTCTCTCTCTCTCTCTCTCTCTCTCCTTTCTTTGTACCCTTCTGGCCGAGTCCTCCATGACGCTTACTTCTGCATCTGTTTTCTTGTTCTTTTTTTGGTTTTGTTTTCGTCTTTTCCTTTCTTCTTCTTGTTTCCACACTCGTTTTCTTTATACTCCTCTGGCAGAGTCTAGACGCATATTCAATCGCCATAAGCGTGCAATTGTACGGTTGGAACAAATGGCCGGAGAAGCGATATCGAGAGCTATGACTGCGGAACATGCATTTGCAGCTCTCTATGGGAAGGCCATCAGATATCTGATGAGAAAGCCAGAGGTATGTCTTTTCTGCAGCCTATAGGTGTGAACTGGCATGCATTCAATTCTTTCTTCATCTGCATTGACTGATTCGGCAGGGCGATAGTCAATCGCTTTTTTTTTGTTTTTTTTCTAAATTTGAACTGCTTCCCGATTTATTTGGTGTCATCCTTGCGCAGTGTCTATGGATCTGTACCTCTGGGCCTCAGCCCTCCTCCGTGCAAGCGCGGACTCGAACGGTCGACCTCGGCCTCAAGAGCTAAGTATCTTAACCACTACAGCCAGGACACGGTGTTCAAAAGCGGAACCATACTGGTCGTGATATCTGCCCCACCCGTGCAAGGCTGTAGTGTCCTTACTCGACGCCCACCACACACAACACCACATGGACGCTGGCAATTCCCGCACACGCCACGGTAATCTACTGTTGCATACTCATGAAACACAGTCATAAGTATGGCGCAGATTCCCAGAATCGACCAGATAATACAGAGTAAATACAAATACAGCGGAAGACTTGAGAAGTTGAGATACATGGATTGACTCGGACCTGACTCAGACTGCAACGAAACACTCACAAACGTACATCGGTGGTGTGAAGCCCTGGCCTTGGACATAGAAGGAAAGGCCAGGGTCAATACCCATACACGGATGAATGGAGGGAGAAGAGACGAAGGGAGGAGGAGGTGAAGATGACGTCAACTCAATGTTTCCAAAGATAGTATCTCGAAATGTCAGAAATAGCGAAAATTGGAAATGTCGCGAACACAGAGTCTCACAGTGTCTCATATATCGATCTCACAATGTCGAGGTACATCTTCAGAGGAAGATGAAATCAGATCCCAAGAGTAGTCCTCAACCTACAGTCTCAATGTCGCTGTCTCCAATGTCATCAGAACTCGTAACCATCCTTCATACTCGTAGTAGTCCCGTAGGAGAACCCAGGAGGAGATCTAGACTTAGAAGGTAGGACGAGAGAGAGAGAGAGAGAGAGAGCGGTGGAGGAAGAAGAGGGAGAGAAGGCAAAGCCTTTCTCCCTGGTACCTGTCACGGTAGCTATGGCGCTGCAAAGGGCTGGTGCTGGGCCGCGGGCTGGGCCGGTGGCTGGCGCTGCTCCAACTGCTGCGCGAGTTCCTCTTGGCCGCTGAGCTCCTCTTTTCCTCGCTGCTCATGCTAACGCTGAAACGCTGCGCTAATCCTGCTAACCATGGCTACCGACCGGACGTCCGGACGGGCTTCCAGACAGTCCGTAGCAAAATGTACAGGTCTGGTGTCCGGTCGGAACTTTTTGGAACAGGGCCCGTGGTCAGAAATTCAAAAAAAAAAAGGGGGCTGCCCAGGACATTTTCCGGGTGCTGGGCGCCCCCTAAAAAATACCGGCCCGATTTTTCAGTTTCGTTTCGGCCTGCCGGACCCAACCTGACACAGGCGACTGGGGTGGGGACACAGGCGGTTGGCGGGTCGATTTTKAAGTCGGGCGTTTCGAAACTCCCACCAGCCGCTGCTGCCAGCTTCACGAGCGACTCCTCTATTCGAAGCCACTGCCTGGATCCATCGCCGCCGAAGCCACTGCTTGCAGCCATCTCGAGCGAAGCCACTGCTTGGAGCCACCACCGTGAGCAGCAGCCGCCCGGACTCTCGCCACTCCAGCGACGCTCGTTGACAATGCCGCCAGCCAACAAGGTCAATCTCTCTCTCTCTCTCTCTCTCTCTCTCTCTCTCTCTCTCTCTCTCTCTCTTCACACTTCTGGCATATTGGAAAGTGTGTCTGGTTGGTTGGTTGGTGGATCGGTCCGCCTTCCCTCCTGCACTGAGACTCTCTCTCTCTCTCTCTCTCT